CCCCCCCCCCCCCCCGTCTCTGCGTGTCTCTCTCTACAAGTTGATCGGGACGCACGGCATTCCTAGGGAAGAACACAAGCTACTGTAACAAATCCCACACCATTCGATACGGTGCGCGAGGCCAGTTTCCTGCGCCCCTCCACCCCCTCCTCCTCCTGACTTGCTGCTTGGCCGAAGACATCCACCACTACCCCTATCACCACCGCCACAAGCCCGAGATCGACGAAACCGTTCCAATCTTGTTTGCTGCCAATGGTATTTTTTTACGTGTCTTGTCCTCCGTCTTGTCTGCCTTGTCTGTCGACAGGGCGAGGTGCTGGACCCGGGAGGCTGTGTTCAGGCGGTCGAAAGGTTTACCCCTGCGGGAGCAGACGACGGTAAGGCTCAAGGGACGTCATGTCATGTCATGTCACTGCAACCTTTCATGTTGAGAATGTGTCGGATAAACTCTCTACTATGTACTTCCCTTGTGTCATATGAATGTGGGTGTTTTTCTGATTTTTTCCCTCAGATTTCTCTGAAATTTCCTTTTTTTCGTAAATCACGTTCTTGCAATTTGTTGTTGCCACAATCTACCGCCCATCTTGCCATTCCGTCGATGCAGGTATCGTGTTCATCAAGCTAGCGGAGGGAAGAGGCTGGGTGCCGCTCAACATTCGCGATATTTAGCGCTCGGGACAGACGAAAGTCGTTCAACAATGTTGGTCAATTGATTGCACGAGGAAGATCGATCCAGAAAAGTTCAGTGGCACGATGGTATACTATACTAGGGGGCTACCGGAATAAAGCACGTTGTTCAGGGAGGGAGAAGGAGAAGGAGAAGGAGAAAGAAGGCCTGTTCGAACGGACACGTGGACCCGGTCAAGCGATGCATGCACGTCTCCAGTCGATGGTAGGGACATGGTTGTATAGGCAGGCGCGTCGTAGATAGCCATAGCCATCTCTTGGCACCGGCGGGGGTGGTTTGTGTCGGTCGTGGAGGGTGCACATTTGGCGGCGATTCGCTTCAAGCCCTCCGTTGTCGTAGTATTCCTCTCATGGTAGTGAAGGCGCGGTTCTGTGATGGTGTAGAATTATGTCGCATGACGCTGGTAAAAGGGTGACAAGGGGGGGGGATTCGACGGAAGGAAACTATCAATACTACCGTTGTGTTGTCTCTATTGTGAAGTTCCACCGTGGTTGTGGGTCCGGCCCCCCTTGTTTTTGTTTTGGTTCATGTACGGGGGGGAGATTGTTTTGGTCGCACGACGCGCTATGACGATGACTAGTGTCAACCTAGGTCGCTTTGGTTCTTCGGGCAGCTTATGCCTGTATTGTTGCTTTCTAATCCAGGAGAGCACCTTGGCACTGCTCTCAGAATCTACCAATTTGTTCGTACGTATGCTACAGCGTTAGGAGATGGCATGCATGATACAGCGGTAGGAGATGGCAAGCATGAAATGAATTTGTCGCTGTTGTTGGTAGATCTCTAGTGCATTGTCTTGTCTTACGTTTGTCCTGTCCTCTTGTAGTTTTGGCGCCGTCAGGCATGCGCATCTCCCTCCCCGTGGCGGCAGCGCAGAGTACATGTCCTACAGGGCGTGGGTAACGGTGTGTGCAAAATAGAATGCCGGTTGCCAAGTGGTGCATGTTGGCCCGTCAGTCGGAATGCCGGACTGCGCTGCGTGAATCGCCTAATTATTGAAAGAATACCGCGTCGTCTTGCCCCTCCTGTTCCATGAAGCAGCGTGCGTGGTGGTTGCTGTCGTTGAGAGGAGACCCGCTCGAGAAGCACGACCGACTACTGTGGGTGGCCTTGGCGGCTGTGGCACGGTTACGTCGCTTATCCTATCTGCACCGAAAAGTTGGCCAGAATGCAAAGGTCCCATCTTGGTCTTCTCTGCATCTTCCATCTTCCATCTTCAGAGCACTGTCTGTCCCGTATGCGAGTCTCGCGATAGGAGAAGAGACGCACAGATGTGGAAAAACTTCCCCAACTCTCACTGCTTTGTCCTCTTCCGACGTGCGGCGTCAGCCCCTCATCCTGAGCTGGGTATCCACGAGCCACTCGGTGCA